CCGGGCATGTGTAGACTGAAACAGCTGGTGATATCTACTAATTTTTCAAGGATGGATTTCATCTTTATTCCCACAATTTCCTGAATGCATGATTAGCTGCCTAAATAGCAAAATTAGATTAATTGCTGAAAACCAGTTGTGAGTAGAGTCATCCCGTTTAAATCAAGGGAACTTACAGTGGGGTCTCTACTTAAGAACTTAATCCGTATTGGAAGGTGGTTCTCAAGTTGAAAAGTTCTTATGTTGAATCTGCATTTCCCATAGGAATGCTTTGAAAACCATTTAATCCGTATCTGCTCTTTTCCATCCATAGAAACTACAGTGGAACCTCTACTTAAGAACTTAATCCATTTTGGAATGGTGTTCTTAAGTTGAAATGTTCTTAAATTGAAGCAAAATTTCCCATAGGAATGGACTGAAAACCAATTAATCCGTTCTGGCTGTTTTTTTGTTATGTAGAGGTGCGTTCGTACATTGAAGCATTAGTTCCCATAGGAACTAATGCAAAGCTGGTTAATACGTACTCTACCACTAGGGGGAGAATTTTTTTAACCTAAGATGACCTAAGGTTAAAAAAAGAGCAGGAAAGGTTTTTTTTCCTGTTCTTATCTTGGATTTCTGTTCTCAAGTAGAAGCAAAATTTAGCAAATGGAGCTGTTCTTAAGTTGGATTGTTCTTAAGTAGGGACATTCTTAAGTAGAGACCCCACTGTACTGAGGAGTTGTCTCACCAGATTCCTCTGATTCAATAGGCCTACTCTATTTTCAATCTACTCTGTTTGCAATTTCAGCCAGAATCTAGCTGTCCGGCATGCTTGTTGATGTCAACATTGTTCCCCCCACTGCCTTTTTAACAAAGCGATCAGTGCTAGAGTTTGGCAATGTTCTGTTTTCTAAGTTATGGTGTATTTCCTATGTGGCAAGTTGTTACCTGACCACAAATGTTTACAGGTTTTGCCGTGGTACATTAATTACAATAATTGAGCTGTTAAAAAGGCATAGGGACAGCTAATTGGAAAGACATTTTGATGAGGGTAAAGTAATAACCACCCGATGTGTGATAGTGAAATCTTAATAATTGGTAAAGTTGAAGAGCTTTGGGTTTTCAAGTCTTTGGTCTTGCATGTGTGGTTTTAAATCCTTTCCCCAAATATTGAAAAGATACCCTTCTTCAGTTGCATTGTAACGGCATAATGTATTTTAAAATTTTGACACTTGGAGTAATTCTGATTATTTGTCGGACTACCTCTTCTCACCTACAAATGTATTTGAGGTTGTAGCATTCTACAGACGGAATGGAACAACAACACATTCTGTGTCCATGATTGTAGAAGCTTGAAAAAGATGGGGAGTGTTCTGATGCCTTTTCCTAAAAGATCAGTGGAAATGTGGATGAAAATCAGAATTTCATGATTGATTTTAGTGTATTGGATTATTTGTCCAACTGTATCCATTTTGTTCATGCAACAGGATTTCAGCCCCTAATGTTGCTTCGTGGTGATAAAAGAAAAGTCATACAGGCTTTAGAACAATGCTGTATGAGCCGTTCTCTGTCTTAGAATGACTGGAATTACTTCGTAATGCAGGGTTGTTAAAATACAATGTTAGCCACCCTTTGCTCCATGAAAACATTTTCTAATAATAATATAGAAGAATGATCTGTCTCAGCAAAGTACAGGTAGAATTTTGAAATCCTCTTGTCTGCTCCATTTTTTCTCTATTCTGCAGCATATTTGTTCCTTTTTATTATTTGTATACAGGTACAGGTTTTAGCTTTTGTCTTTTAATGGTGTAAGCTGCCTTGGGTATAAAGGTAAAGGTAACTTATTTGTATACAGGTACAGGCTTTAGCTTCTGTCTTTTAATGGTGTAAGCTGCCTTGGGTCCTTTTTAAGAAGGACATTGGGGTAAAAAGATTAAAAATAAAAATAAAATAAAATGTAGAGGAAACAGAACTGTGTTTAGAAATATACATACCTGCAACGTTCCTCATGTGCACGTGCAGAGTTCCATTGGCTCCACACAGTGGCAGGTGGTGTTGACCTTCTGGGTTCTGATGTCCCCCATGTGTACATACAGGGCGAGGCTCCTGCACAGCAGCCCTGAAAATTAGAGGAAGCGTTGCATACCTATGAAAGAGAGGTGAAGTTTATTTCAGTATGTGCAAGTGTTCAGTTCTCTCAAGTCTAAGGAAATAAAAAGGAAAAATTGATGATGATTTAGACAGGTCATTGAATAGACAAAGGGGCTTAAGATGCTATACTTTTCAAAGGGACTTATTTATATAATTTACAGTTTGTTTACATGATGTGGATTTCACGTGGCTGAAACTGTTTGTTAATCGCTTCACAAGATTTTATTATCTTCATTATAACATTCAACTAACATTGTGATATTTCTGAATGCTGAAATCTGTTTCTTTGAAGGCAGAGAACAGTGTACTGTTCTGTTCTCCAAAAGAGGAAATTTTTGCAATGTATGAGCTCTCCCTGGCATCAGCCATAATTTTCATTTTCAGCAGAATACTTTATGGAAGAATACCATGCATCATAACAGCTGAAAAAGGTATTCTTACAAAAATGTAACAAAACATCACTCATTTTCTTCATTATGTCATGGAGAGCAGACTTACAAAAAGTGCAACCTTGATGTGCGGTACTCAACTTGCCTCTGGTAAATAGGTGTTGCAGGGTTTTCTGTCATATCATTTGTTTCCTGATAGTTTTGACAGTGTGGACAGAAGACTGTTTTCATGTTAGGGTAGTTTCTCTTGTCAGCCCTCCCAATTTTCTCAGCTAGCAGCACCTAAGCTATTAATTTCATTTTCGTTTTTGTTTTATTATTCATGACCTAACTTTCTCCCAGTGAGGAGAAGGAAAAGGGTAGGGTTTACCCAGGTGCTCACCAAACAGAGCTTCAGATGGCTGCAATATGTACCGCAGTGCAAGATCTGAAAACATGCTTAGATATCTTGGTGGGTTTTCCTTAACATTGGATATAATTGGAATTATTGAGAGAATAGAACTCATGTATGTATGCATGCCTGGTGCATGCATGCACCAGAAAGAGCCATTTAAATGCTAGATTATTCATACCATATACTATGTTCTTAAAGTAAAAAAATAAGTTTAGATCAGATATTTTAAAAAAAAAGAACATTCTGTGTATGGCTTCCTCACTCCCTCAGACTTCTAGTTTTGGGAATGGGAGACATAAAACATTCTTATTCTTTTTGACTCAGATGGCTGTTTGTTATTTATGAATATAGACCCCCGATAAGGAGTCCTATAATCAATTTACTAAGATGTAAGACAGAAAAATGTATCAGAAATCCTCATGTATCTGCAGAGTTTGAAGGTGACAATGAAAACCATTAATAATTGTGCTCAACCCACAACTCACTCACTCCCCCTCCTTTTTATTCAAGTTTTTAAAATAACATGGTGTAAATAAATGGTTAACAAGAAAAATATGGGGGGGGGGTAACATTTAGGATATTGTTGTTGTTTAGTCGTTAAGTCGTGTCCGACTCTTCGTGACCCCATGGACCAGAGCATGCCAGGCCCTCCTGCCTTCCACTGCCTCCCGGAGTTGGATCAAATTCCTTTTGGTCGCTTTGGTGACACTGTCCAACCATCTCATCCTCTGTCATCCCCTTCTCCTCTTGCCTTCACACTTTCCCAACATCAAGGTCTTTTCCAGGGAGTCTTTTCTTCTCATGAGATGGCCAAAGTACTGGAGCCTCAGCTTCAGGATCTGTCCTTCCAGTGAGCACTCAGGGTTGATTTCCTTCAGAATGGATAGGTTTGTTTTCTTTGCAGTCCAGGGGAGTCTCAAGAGTCTCCTCCAGCACCACAATTCAAATTTAGGATATTATTGGTGTGTTAATTGAGTAAATTGACGTGGTGGCGCTGAGGGACATGGTGGCGCTGCGGGCTAAATCGCAGAAGCCTCTGTGCTGCAGGGTCAGAAGACCAGCAGTCGTAAGATCAAATCCATGTGACGGAGTGAGCTCCTGTTGCTTTTTCCCAGCTCCTCGTCAACCTAGCAGTTTGAAAGCATTCAAATGCGAGTAGATAAATAGGTACCACCTCGGTGGGATGGTAAAACGGCGTTCCCTAGTCACGCTGGACACGTGACAACGAAAACTGTCTTTGGACAAGTGCTGGCTCTACAGCTTGAAAACGTGATGAGCACCGCCCCCTAGAGTCGGACACGACTGGACTAAGAATGTCGAGGGGAACCTTTACATTTTTTAAATTGAGTAAGACTTTTCAAAAGTCTGTATTAATGCAATATGCCAGGCTCCTTCCCTCTTCATGTTCAGGAAATGGATTTATTCAAAGCTCTACCTACTTTCCAACAACTGGATAAATAAATGTAATAATAAAAGGAAACCAGGTTTTGGAGAAGTCCATTGATAAAGCCATATTCACAAGTCTGTTGAGTCACCCATCGCACAACAACTGTTCTAGATCTTCATGTACCATCTTGAGAATCGTTCTCAACTCTTGCATGCAAGTCTTAAATGTTGGGAAAGTCAACATATATTGGCCAGAATCCTGCTGGGTTTTTGCAACCTAAAACCAAAATTACATAAATGATGAGCACAATCAGTCCAGCTATCTGTCACGCTCTTTGACATATTTATCTAGGTTATGTGTGCGGTTGTGGACCCGGTACTATTTTCTGACGTGATATGGCCAGGCTGTGAATTCCTCTGCTTGGCCCACTCCTGGCTGTGCCAGAAAATCTCAAAAACCACTTGTCCAATTTGTCTTACATGTGGAGGATTTTGCACTAAGATTCTGGGTAGTATATTACAGTGGGTGGGTGGTTTTGCTGTGTGTTATTTGTGCCAGTGACCACACTGTTGCTTGGAGCTGGGATCATGACAGGCTGTTCTAATAACATGGATGTTTACTTGGTATCCCTGGAACATATAGAGCATTCAATAGTGGCAAATTCATTTCCCCCCCTTCATTTATTTTTTTCTTTTAGACTTCTCCTGGAACTTTTGGAACTGCTCTTTGACAAGTTTAACGCTGTTGCTGCTGCTCATGCCATTGTCTTGGGCCATCTTCAGCAGACTGTGGCTTCTCCTTCCAGTCAGTATGATGGTGATATCAAGTTATATGACATGGCAGACGTGTGGGTGAAGATTCAGGATGTCTTGCAGGTAAGGAGCTCTTGCAAGGGCTCAGACCTCCTTTAAGGCACTGAGTCTACTCAAGAACAAACCTTGGAAGTCTGGGATCTGATGTTCGTTTGAGCCGAGGGTTTTTAGCCTGTGCATATCTTAAGCAAGATTTCATTAGCTTAAGATGTTGAGCTTTCTGTATCAAAGGGATACAGAAATTATCGTAGTGATTCCCCACCCCCACCTCAAAACCTTAAAGAGTGCTTGTTCTCTGACATGATGTCGCCAGGCTGTAAATCTGCACGGGCCATTTCACAGCATTAGCTGCTTCTGTTAAATGACAAGGGAATTAACACTGTAGTGGTGTCACATGTCATTGGTGCATGTACCAGGAATGCTGTAAGAGCAAGCTACATAACCTGATTGACTATTTTAAGATTGTCTTCAGAAGCCCCTTGCTCAGAGTGTGGAGGTAGGCTCATCAAGCAAGATTCCTTCCCTTGTCATGCTTGGTGGCTGGCATATCCTTTGTACATTCCTTCTCAAGGCTCCGTCCCTTCAGAAAGAGAATGAAATGGGTGCTCTGTAATATGAATCAGTGCTCCTTTTGCATTGACTCCATTATGTTTCCTTCTTGCAACTTAGCTCCCTCATGGAAGTTTAGATTGAGCGGCTGAATACAAATAGCTTAAAGAAAAGAATGCTAAAGGTTGTTAGAATAAAAAGCAGTTTTAGCTGTAAAACTGGGGATGTAAGATAATGGCTTGAATGCAGATAGCAGTCATACAATTATGACAGTTATGTGCGTTTATCTGTCTGTCTGTCTATCTATCTATTTCCACCCTCTCAACTCCCTCCCCCTAAAAAAAAACCAACAACAGAAAAATGATATTTGGGTTCCAGAGGAAACATGAGTCAAATTCTTACCAACTGTCTTTCGTAAATGCTGAGGAGTGGGACTGTCACAGAATCTCTTTTGTTTGGTATTAGGCAATGGGTCATATTTGTGACAGAACTATATTCAGTTCTTCAAAACACCTCCGGTTTAAAAATGTGGGATATTGTGCTTCTGTGCGCGTGATTCAGACATCCGGGAAATGGCCCAATATTGCTACATGATACGATGCTCACGTTACCAGCAGGGGGAAAAAATACCAAGCTTTACATAGTAAAGGGCAGCCTGAATATTGACAACACCCATGTCAGTCGTCAAGATGGTCTACAGGATTCTTTCTTGTGCTCACTATCATTCACAAAGTGACATCACACAAGGGAAAATCCTAGAAGTTGACTCCTTTTTTTCATCAGTTAACCACGTCTCACCCAAACACAAAGCAACAGTCAGGGCTGTTTTTGAACAAGTTTGAATAGTAGTAGTGAGCAGAAGACGGTATCCTGCAGAGTCTGCAGTCCATCTTGACCACTGTGCCAAATTTGGTGTTGATCCAAAGATCTAGTTTCAAAGTTATAATTTTTTGTTTTGGGTTCCCCCAATTTTTCAGTTGGCTTATGGAAGGCTGAATTCTGCTGTTGTATCTATTGCTGTATGCTTGTGTAGCAGTTGTGACAAACCCAGACCTACTGGGATATGTCACACAGTTACACTAAGCTGCCACCAACCATTCCCTTTAAGAAGTCACACAGACCAGGGATGGATTTTCAACCAAATAAGGAATAAGGTTTGTTTAAATACACACATGGAAAAATAAAACGATCAGGTGAATAAAATAAAGTAACGTGGCTTATTCTCACTCATACAAGCATACAGTTTGGTTCACACAGAACCCTTAACTTGAAGCACAGACCCTGAACCTATCAGTTCTGGCTAACCAACAGACACCTGAACCTATCAGGTTGGTACTCTGACACACAGTAGTACCCTGTCTGACACACAGACTCCCACAACAGCTTCTTCTTCCCAGCTGCTGCTTCGTCACAACCCAGTGTCTCTCAGCATCTCTCAGTGTGTCCTCTTCACCACACAGGCATCACATATTTATACAGTACAGCCCCTCCTCCTGATGTCCCGCCTTCCACTCCCCATAGGATGGAACTTTCCCTCCAAACCCATGACAGACAGGTAACATCAGTGCTGTATGTAACACCTCCCCTCTTTATAAGTTGTTTTGTAGGGGGAAAGCTAACGTGCTTTTCACCAAAAAACAACCTTGATAAAACACACAACAACAGTTATACATACAATATCATACTTACTTATACTTACATTCTAAGTTAACCATAGCAATTAGGCATTTAAACATTTACCATATACATTACATCAAGTTACCTTTATTCATACAAACCAAGTTCAAAAAACAGGTACATTTAACTTTTTGTCATCAATATATATACATAGTCCATGTTTCTTTCGCCGTCTTCATTCTTCAGGTCTTCTTGACAAGGCGTCAGCAACACAGTTCACTGACCCTCTGACCACCTTCACTTCAAAGTCATAGTCCTGTAGGTTTAAAGCCCACCTCATAAGTTTGCTATTGTGGGATTTCATTGTCTTTAACCATTGCAGTGGTGAATGGTCAGTGCACAGAACAAAATGTCTTCCCCAGATGTAAGGCTTGGCCTTCTGGATCGCGTAGACTATGGCCAAACACTCCTTCTCCACGGTTGCCAAATGTCTCTCACCTTTTTGAAGTTTCCTACTCAGGTAGGACACTGGATGCTGGTCACCATTCTCATCCTCCTGGCACAGAACTGCTCCTACCCCGCTGTTAGACGCATCGGTGTAGATGATGAACTCCCGGTCGAAGTCTGGAGCACGCAGCACTGGATAGTTGATGAGCGCCTGCTTCAACCTCTGGAACGCCTCCTCACAGTCGCTGGTCCACGGGATGCGGTCATCAGCCTTCTTCCTCGTCAGATCGGTCAGCGGAGCCGCAATCTCGCTAAACCTCGGGATGAACTTTCTGTAGTAGCCCACCAACCCAAGAAATGATTTGACCTTCTTCTTGGTGTTGGGTCTAGGCCAATCACGAACAGCTTCTATTTTGGCCTCCAGGGGTTTTATCATTCCTCCCCCTACCATGTGACCCAAGTATTTTATTTCTGGGCTACCCAGCTGACACTTGCTGGCCTTTACCGTTAGCCCTGCTGCACTTAACCTCTGCAGCACTAACTCCAGGTGTATCAGGTGATCTTCCCAGGTATTACTGAAGATCCCTATGTCGTCAATGTAGGCCACTGTAAAGTCACTGAGCCCTGCCAAGGTCTGGTCCATCAGCCTTTGGAATGTGGCTGGTGCATTTCTGAGACCAAAGCTCAGGACTCGAAACTCATAGAGACCAAAAGGGCTGCAAAAGGCAGTCTTTTCTTGATCCCTGGGATCAATTCTTAATTGCCAATATCCCTTTACCAGGTCCAATGATGAGATGAACCGACAACCCCCTATGGTTTCAATCAGGTTGTCTAGCCTGGGCATTGGGTAGGCATCAGGAGTGGTTACACGGTTTAACTTCCTGTAATCAACACAAAACCTAATGCTCCCATCAGGCTTGTCCACAAGGACTATCGGAGAGGACCAAGGACTAGAAGAGGGGACGATTATGTTCTCCCTAAGCATCTCGTCCAGCTCCTTCCGCACCTTGTCCCTATAGGGTCCCGTTACTCGGTATGGGGATACTGCCTGCGGGGGTGCATCCCCTGTGTGGATCCGATGCATCACTCCCTTCACTATCCCCGGCTTGTTGGAAAACACCTGCTGATATTTACTAAGCAGCATTTTTAATTCTTGCTGCTGGTCTTGGGTGAGTGCAGGACTGATATTGACCTCCTCTGGGTTGTATTTTACTTCCCCTCTACCCTCCCAGAAGGGTAATTGTTTTTGATATTAGTATATGGCTGCATTGTTAGCAGCTTAATCTTGAAAGCTCACAATTTGAGGATAACCTTAACACTTTCGAAAGAGAGCACCATAAAACATGATTCTGACAGGTGGGATTGGTGTTGTGGGTGTCTGAATCTTTCCAAAACATTGATGTGTTGATGCATTTGTGAGCAGATGGGAGTGGTGGGCAGAAAATGGGTGGAGAAGGAATCGTCAAGATTGGTGTAATCACGCCTACATAGTAAGCCGTGTGCTTTACCTCTTGGATGTGTTCCTTCAGCTTGCAGTGAATTTATCGCAAAAGAAATCTCTCAGCCTATTAATAAACCATCTTATTTTTGCCAGTTTTTATTTCAATTTTTAAA